ATATGAGCCAGCAGTGTGCTCAGGTGGCCAAGAAGGCCAACAGCATCCTGGCTTGTATCAGAAACACTGTGACCAGCAGGGCTAGGGAGGTGATCGTCCCCCTGTACTCGGCTCTGGTGAGGCCGCACCTCGAGTACTGTGTTCAGTTTTGGGCCCCTCGCTACAAGAAGGACATGGAGGTGCTTGAGCGGGTCCAGAGAAGGGCAATGAAGCTGGTGAGGGGCCTGGAGAACAAGTCCTACGAGGAGCGGCTGAGGGAGCTGGGCTTGTTCAGCCTGGAGAAGAGGAGGCTCAGGGGCGACCTTATCGCTCTCTACAGATACCTTAAAGGAGGCTGTAGCGAGGTGGGGGTTGGTCTGTTCTCCCACATGCCTGGTGACAGGACGAGGGGGAATGGGCTTAAGTTGCGCCAGGGGAGTTTTAGGATGGATGTTAGGAAGAACTTCTTTACCAAAAGGGTTGTTAGACACTGGAACAGGCTGCCCAGGGAGGTGGTGGAGTCACCATCCCTGGAAGTCTTTAAAAGACGTTTAGATGTAGAGCTTAGGGATATGGTTTAGTGGGGACTGTTAGTGTTAGGTCAGAGGTTGGACTCGATGATCTTGAGGTCTCTTCCAACCTAGAAATTCTGTGATTCTGTGATTCTGTGAACTCATGGGCTATTCTCATCCAGTATTAAATCCCCTTGAGGTACACACCAGACCTCCCCATTCTTTTGCATTACCCACCAAAGGTATCCAGGCCCCTAAGCAAAAGCAATCCCACAAATGGGTTTGCCTTTCCTGAGGCAGGAGTAGCCCAGACTGTCTTACCCAGCATGTTTCTTATGTGCACTACAGGAACTTTATCCCCTTCTGCAGCACTTAACAGGTTTGACTGGGCAAGTCCAACTCTGTTGACTGATCTCCTGGTGTTGACTAACCAGGTGGCCTTTGACAAATGCATATCCCAATTTTTGAATGTCCCAGCACCCTTGCTTTCCGTGTAGTCTTTAACAGTCCATTGCATTGTTCAACTTTCCCAGAGGCCGGTACATGATAGGGGATGTGATACACCCACTCAATACCATGCTCTTTGACCCAAGTGTCAATAAGGTTTTTTCAGAAATGAGTGCCATTGTTTAACTCAATTCTTTATGGGGTGCCATGTCACCATAGAACTTGCTTTTCAAGGCCCAGGATAGTGTTCTGTGCAGTGGCATGGGGCACAGGATATGTTTCCAGCCACCTGGTGGTTGCTTCCGCCATTGTAAGTACATGGCATTTGCCGTTAAGGGTTTGAGGGGGTGTGATGTAATCAATCTGCCAGGCCTCTCCGTATTTATATTTTAGCCATTGTCCTCCATACCAAAGAGGATTCAACTGCTTGTCTTGCTTGATTGTAGCAGGTTTCACAATCATGAATAACCTGTGCAATAGTGTCCATGGTCAGGTCCACCCCTCGATCACGAGCCCATTTATACATTTCATCTCTGCCTTGATGGCCAGAGGAGTTGTATTGAGTCTGGCTGGGATAGAATTAACTTTCCCTGCAGCAGCCCATGCAGTGCTGTGCACTGCACTTGTAGCTAGAACAGCACTGGTATCACACCAGAGTTGTGTCTACTACTGAGCAGTGCTGGCACAGCATCAGGACTCTCACTATGCCTCTGAGAGTCAGCAGACTGGGGATGGTCAAAAAGTGAGAAAAGAATATCACCAGGGCAGCTGACCTAAACCAAGCAAAAGGATATTCCATACTGTATGACATCACTACTCAGCAATAAAAGGTGGAAAAATGAAGAAGATGGGAGAGGGTGGGCTCTTGTGAAAACTGTTTGTCCTCCTGAGCAACAGCTATGTGCTTTGAGGCCCAGCTTCAAGGACGAGGTCAAGCATCGCTTATTTGTGGGAAGTAGAGAGTAATTTCTTTCCTCTGCACTTCTGCACAGGCTTTGCTAGTGATTTTGGTTTTGTTTTCTTTTTTCTTTTTTCTTTTTTCCTTTTTCCTTTTTCCTTTTTTTTTTTCCTTTAGTTAAATTGTTTAATTAGTAATAATTTTCCCTTAATAGTAATAGAATACATTTTTTCCTTTGATTATTAATTATTAATTATTCTTATCTCAACTGTTACTTGTTTCTTTCCTTTTCTTCTTCCTCTCTTCTCGTGACGCGAGGAAGTGAGAGAGTGGTTGTGGTGGAGTTCAGCTGTCTAGCAAGGTAAAACCACCACAGGTGTCATCGGCCTATTGAGCTATACATAATTCACCCTTACGTTGTGTACTGGGTCTGGCTGGGATGTTAACTTTCCCTGCAGCAGCCCATACAGTGCTGTGCTCTGCACTTGTAGCTAGAACAGCAGTGGTATCACAGCAGTGTTGTGTCTACTGCTGAGCAATGCTGGCACAGTATAAGGATTCACTCTAACCCCTTCCCAAGAGCCATCAGGCTGGGGGTAGGCAAGAGGTGAGGAGGGGACATCACCAGGGCAGTTGAGCTAGACCAGCCAAAGGGATATTCCATACCATATAATGTCACACAGCAATAAAATGTGGGAAAGGGCTCTTGTTATGAAAACAGCACTAATAGGAGGGAAAAGACTCTCATTATAAAAACGTTCATCCTTTCAAACAACTGCTATGTGTATTGAAGTCCTGCCTCCTGGGAGGTGTCCTAACATCATTCATTGATGGGAATTAGAGAATAATTTCTTTATTTCTTTCATCAATCTCTGTGCTGCCACATGGCCTTTGCTTTTTTGTTGATGGTGGTGGTGTTTGTTTGTTTCTTTCTTTCTTTGGTTGGTTGGTTTTGGTTGGTTGGTTTGGTTTAGTTTGGTGTTCCTTTTTCATTTTCCCTTTAATTAAATTATCCATATTGCAACCTTTTGCTTTCATTTCCCTTGGCCAACGGGATTTTCCAGCAGGATCATAGAGGATATCCTCAGATGTGGCCCTGACTCCCAGAGTTATTGCATTGGATCTTTCAGATACCCGGAGATATCTTGGAGCAGCTGTGGCACCTGAGATGTCGCCAGGTGCTTCCATCCAAACCACTCCCTGCTGCTCTCCATCTCCATCCTTTACCACAGGACAAGGGGATTTTGTGCCCAGCAGAACTATCAAGGGGAATGCCCAGATCAAGTGTGGATGGAAGGAGATGAGCCCCTTTCCAGCCCCAGGACCACAGACCCCAAATGAGATGCCTCAATGGCCTCAGCTGAATCCCGTCCCTCAGCAGGGGTACAGAGATCCCTGCCTGCCACTGCCCAGCTGTCCTCCCTGTGATGGGACAAGGGGAGGGGTTTCACATACCCAGCTCTGTCCCTGGCCGGAGGAATGACACAGATTGAAAGAAGTCTCCCAGCAGCTGAGGGAGGGAATATCAGTGATTGCTTTGGTGCATTTCCAAGGAGGTTTGTGGGGAGACAAAGGACATCTCGAGGGAGCCCAGTGGGACAGAGCAGTTGATATCATGGTCAGGTGCTGTGCTGCTGAGCTGGGCTGGGCTCCTGTGCTGCAGGGAACTCCTGGCGCTGCAGAGAGACAGCTCTGCCCAGGAGCAGCTCCTCTGCACAGCACAGCAGGGCTGGGGGCTCTGACTGCAGGTGGCACTGGGAGAGGAGAGGAGAGAGGGGTTGGAGGCAGCAAGGAGCGCAACAGCAGAGGGCAGCGTGTGGCAGGACAGATCTGCAGGCGCTTGACACGGTGAGTCTGGAAGCAGGGCAATGCAGATGCAGTTGCCAAAGGGGTCTTCTACAGCTGGCACAACTGATGCCTGATAGCATCTGTTGAGGTGACTCTTCCTCTGTCTAGTAGAAGATGCTTTAGAGAATGGCATTTATGAGGGGAAATCTCAAGAGGAAGATGAAGGCTTGGTTTATCTGAAGCAGAGGGCTTTTTATGTAGTCTGTTTTCAGATTCCTGCTGTGGAGGGAAGGCAGGTTTCATGGTAATGGGTTGTCAGGATTGTACAGAAGAGTGGGACTCCTGGAGCATTGCACTGAGAGATCAATATGGAAGTGATGAGTCTATATACTCTCTTCCCACATCTCAGCATACAGACTACAGCAATATCATGTTTATGGTGTCTTCAGGGCTTACCTGAGCTGATCTTTAGGAGCTGCATCCTCTGTGATGCTCCTGGACAGTGTCCTGTCTCCAGGAGTCCTCTATAGAGCAAAGCTGAGCATACAGCTTGTGGAATGGGGTCTGTGAGTGTGGACAGGGAGGAGACATGGGGACAGAGAAACAGCTCCTGGTGAGCTGTCCCTCCCTGGCATTGCCTCCCCTGGCAGCAGCAGGCTGGCATTCCTCCTGGCTTCTCCACCTGGCTGTGCTGCTGCTGTTCTTGTTTGCAGGCTGGCTGGGGATGGGGGTTTCACATGCACATGGAGTGAGCCCTCGGTGTGCTTGGGGGAAGTAGAGTATGGGGACAGGGTACGGTGTCTGGAGATGTGCCCTTTGAGCCTAGATTCTTCTGCTTTCAGCAGTGTCATGATTTTTTTTCAGGTGAATGTAATTGTCATGAAGCTCAAGGAGATGCCAGCAGAAGAGACCAGCCTTTATGGACAGGCTGGCTGTCCTCTCTGAAGGACAGTCCACACTTAAGGGACAGTCTTTTGCCTCTGAGTATGAATGAAAAGGAATGAAAACAAAATAAAGATTTCCCATCAACCCTCCACCACAGATGGGTAAACTGGGAACAACAAAGTGGAAAATTTCAACATATCAGAAGTGAATTTATTTGAGATTGCCTCATGTTGCTATTTACTTATTTCTGTAGAGCAGGGGTGACGCCTGCATTGCCCACAGCAGAGTCCCATGCTCCCAGAGGCACCCTCAGGTAGCATCAATCAGGCCACATGAAAGAGACCTGCCAAATATCTGCCTGGAAGTGTGGAAGTACGTTGGAGTGCTTAAATAAGGAATGGAAATTGCTTTTCTCTAAGGAATTAACTCTATGGTTAATTATCACCAGCTTTCTGCTCCTTTCTGCAGGACCCCATGGACAGAACCAGCAAATGGCTAACAGCAGCTCTGTCAGTGAGTTCCTCCTCCTGCCATTTGCAGACACACGGGAGCTGCAGCTCCTGCACTTCGCACTCTTCCTGGGCATCTACCTGGCTGCCATCCTGGGCAACGGCCTCATCCTCACCGCTGTAGCCTGCGACCACCGCCTCCACACCCCCATGTTCTTCTTCCTCCTCAACCTCGCCCTCCTCGACCTGGGCTGCATCTCCACCACTCTCCCCAAAGCCATGGCCAATTCCCTCTGGGACACCAGGGCCATCTCCTATGAAGGATGTGCTGCACAGGTCTTTCTCTTTGCCTTCTTGACTGGAGCAGAGTTTTCAGTCCTTACTCTCATGGCCTATGATCGCTACATTGCCATCTGCAAGCCCCTGCACTATGGGAGCCTCCTGGGCAGCAGAGCTTGTGCCCAGATGGCAGCAGCTGCCTGGGGCAGTGGATTTCTCCATGCTGTGCTGCACACTGCCATTACATTTTCCCTGTCCCTCTGCCAAGGCAATGCTTTGGACCAGTTCTTCTGTGAAATCCCCCAGATCCTCAAGCTCTCCTGCTCAGATGCCTACCTCAGGGAAGTTGGGGCACTTATGTTTAGTGTTTCTTTTTTATTTGGTTGTTTTGTTTTCATTCTTTTCTCCTATGTGCAGATCTTCAGGGCTGTGCTGAGGATGCCCTCTGAGCAGGGACGACACAAAGCCTTTTCCACTTGTCTCCCTCACCTGGCTGTGGTCTCCCTCTTTGTCAGCACTGCCATGTTTGCCTACCTCAAGTCCCCCTCCACCTCCTCCCCATCCTTGGACCTGGTCTTGTCTCTTCTGTACTCAGTGGTGCCTCCAGTAGTGAACCCCCTCATCTACAGCAAGAGGAACCTGGAACTGAAGGATACCTTAAGGAAATTATTTACATTCTTGCTTCTTAAGCATCAGAAACGTGACCATCATCTTAACAAGACAGGCAGGATTTCTCAGAGAAATGAAAATCTTGAAAAAGATTTTTTTTTTTTTAGAGAAGATTAAGTTTATTTTTATCATCCTACCTGTTGTTCATTATAGTTTATTTGACCCAATCATACTTAAAGAACCAATCTTTCAGTGTAAATAAATAAAATAAGCCATCAGAAATTCACTGGTCTCAGCTGCCACTTTTTCCAATCTTCCCTGCAGCTGGAGGAGCAGCTCCAGCACACAGGAGGGGCTCAGGGGCCAAGAGCCCAGCTGCCACGTGGAGGAGCAGCCCCAGTGTCCCTCAGGGCTTCCCCTCACTGCCCGCTGGGCTCTGCTGCCTTTGGGTCGGGGCTGCTGCTTCCCTGGAGACACAGCTATGGCCAGAAGCAGGATGAGACCTTCTCCATGCTGCTCCCCATTCACTTCCAAGCTCTTCCTTTGTGCCCCTGCCTATGTGTTACTCCTAAGATCTCATATGCTTTGGCAACAGCCCTATTGTCTCTGCAGTGGCATCTCTATGCACCTCTTCTAATGCTGGTGTCAAGAACACACCCAAGGTGCTGCTCCCTGAACAGGCCACTTGCTTCTGGGCTTCACCATGGATCAGAGTCCCAGAGTGATCAGTGAAGGACTGAGGGCTGAACTGAGAGTATCCTTCTTGGTTGCACATGGCCCAGTAAACTGTAACTGGCCTTTGACTTTCCTGCCTGGTACTGTCCAACTGGTGCTGGGACTGATGGTAAATGGCATCCTGGAGAGCAATCTGGAGAGGAAGAATTTGTGAGATTGTGTGGGCACTGAGTGTTTCTTCATCTAATGAGTGACCATCCAATGTAGAGTATCCCAAAGAAAAAGGAGAACATGATGAGCCCATGGGCTATGGAGGGCTCTGCAGTGCCCAGAGCGGTTGTGAGGAGCCAGCAGGCAAAGGTATCCAAGAGTCAAGTGTGGTTCAGGACAGTTTCTTTGAAACCCCGCAATCTGGATTGAGTGCAGCACTTGCCTGCCCTTTGTGCCCTTATCACAGATTCATTGAATCAGTAAGGTTGGAAAAGACCTCCAAGATCATCTGGTCCAACCATTTCCCTACCGCCAGGATCATCCATTAAACCATGTCATTTTTTTGCCCTTAGAGACACCCTATGGTCCTGCCAAGCACTGTCCTGTGCTACTGAGCCATCAGGGTAGATTGAAAGGGTCTCAACAGAAGAAATCGCCAGTGAGTTGGGTCTTCTGCCCAGCCTGAGCAGCACAGGCAGAGGGGAGTAGGGGTAGCAGGCACCACAGCCCCCTCGGTCTGCAGAGCAGCACCGCCAGCTGCAGCTGGGGCTCGGAGCTCCCTCTGAGTGTCTTCTAGGCCAGCTTCAGGCACGCAGCTTCTGGACTTGAGTGTGATCCTCACTGTGTGCAAGGAGCTGAGAGACTGCCAACAGGCATGGGGCTCGGACATTGCCTGCAAGGTCCCTCCTGCCCTAGCAACTCCCAGAACTGGCACGGAACTGGCTCCTGTGCCTCAGAGAGGCTGGGAGTCCAGCAGCAGTGCCATGGGCCGGAAGGATCACAACCAGCTCACTTCTACCTGGGCAGGTCCTGGGCCAAAAAGGGTCTGTTTTGTAGGTATCGTATTAAGACGTCAGTGGTGCCTCAGAGATTCCTAATGCAGTCCTAAGTCTGTGAAGTGGACTGTGAGTTGACTTCTTTCTGAAGTAGCCTACAGGCCACCTCCTGACTGCCAGCTGGGATCTGTGCCATTCATATCTGCCAGTGTACCTATCTGAAAGGCTGGCAAAAGCACCTGGATGAATGTAGTTTGTGCGATCCTCTCCTCGTAAGTATCTGGTAATCCCCATAAAGGAAGAGGTCTTGGATAAAGGGTCACATGTCAGAGGGTTCATCCTTTTCCTAAAAAATGTGGCTTCTTTCAGATTTCCACACAAAGGTGACCACTGCCTCCAAAGTGCCTGGGGGGAGCTGAAGCGTGCTTGATAGCCTGTGAAAAGTTACCCAGGAGCTGTAGGAGCCATTTTAGATCCAAAGCTGGTGGGTAGGAAGGGCACTTTTGGGGTGGTGAAGAGCTGCTAGATACGTTGTGCAGGGTGCTCCTACAGAACTTTGTGCCCTTCACCCTCCTGACTACAATGCCACTTCTGTATCAGGAATGGAGTAGCCAGCAGAGGTTAGAAAGATACTCTGAGATCATAAAAGCTATCAGAAAGTTCCCCCTACGAAGATAGCTGATATGGGGAAGTCAGGAGAAGCCTGGGCAGGAGAGGTGTGTGATCTGGGGGAGGGAAGAAGGGACCTCTTGACCAGGAGACCTTGAGCAGAAGAAACTACCAATTCTGAAGAGGTAAGAGGGTTCAGGTAATGTTGATGCTACTGCAACACTGACTCTGAAAACATTCCTGTTAGGCTCTTACCCTGTTTCTAACCCCTAACTGCTACTCCTCCCCTTGACTGTAATCCACTACTCTCCCGCTTAACCTCAAACCTTTCCTTGAAGCCAAAGCTCAAACCCATAAGCCCATAACATTAACTTCTTGCTCACCTTAATCTCTGTCCTTATCACTAGGATAGAAATGCTCTATTTAATCCTAGCCCTCAGGCAAGCCTTAAGCCCTAAGCCCTAAACCCTAAACCCTAAACCCTAAGCCCTGAGTCCTAAACCCTAACCTGGAAACTGAACTACCAATATTCCAGTTCCCAGGATCTAAAAACCTCAACTTCATCTCCTCATCTACTTAAACTGTTTGCCATATTGTCCGGAATGGCGAAGTTGCTGAGCATTCACACATCATTCAAAGATGAATGTGAGGTGGCATGTATCTGATCAGCTTGCAGGCAACAAGGAGGAGATGAGTAGAAATGCTGTGAGGAGCTCAGCTGTGTCTCAAGTTTTTCATAGGCCCACAGGAGGAACATGGTTGTGAAGGAGCTGACAGGTCAACTCATGGCTGGGATCCGTACTTTTAGGCTCTCATCTGCCCAGTGTCCCTGTCAGGCCAGTGGAAGCTGCCCGGTTGGCATGTTGATTGTGGGATCCCCTCTGCTTAAGTGTCTGGTAGGCCCCAGCCAGGAAGAAGACCTGCATATGGGCTATTTCTGTCCTTCTGCAAGACGAAAGGAACACAGCTGCAAGACGACAGGAACAAAGCTGTTCACTCACCAACCTCCCCAGTGAAATAAGAGAGGTTCAGTACCAAAAAAGTTTAAAGCTCATGTGTTGGGAAAAGGACAGTTTGATTAAAAGAAAAGGAAGGGAAAATATTATTACTATAATTAATATTAGTAATAAATATTAAGTATATAAGACGACGATGATGGTGATGATGATGATATCTACAAACCAAGTGATGCTCAGTACAATTACTCACCACCCAATGGGAGATGCCCATCCCATCCCTGAGCAGCAGTCCCCCTAACCCTGGCCAGCCTGTGTCAGGATCTCCTGTGGAGGTCCCTTGACTAAATTAAATTAACATTTATGGCAAAAACCATATTTCAGAAGGATTTGAACTATTTTCTTCCCTTTCTCAAAAATAACTTCTGCTCTGTTGCCCCACATGATGATGTCATCAATGCATTGCTGCTGTTTAGGAGCTTCCCCCTGCTCCATGGCAATCTGGAAGAGTCCATGGCAAATGGTAGGGCTGTGTTTCTACCCCTGGGGCAGTCAGTTCCAGGTGGACTGGATGTCCCTGCAAGAGTGGCCTGCACACTGCAGCACCTGCTGTTCTTCAGCCTTCATCAATCCTGCAACAGAATGGTCCTGTGAGAGACCAGGGCAGGTAGACAACTGTTTAATGTTCTCTCTCTCCAAGGCAGCTATGTCAAAGCCCCACAGCTACCCTTTTGGATCTTTGAAGTACCCCTCTTCTAAGGTAGTCTATGCCAAGGATTCACAGAGGTGTTTTTCCAATGCCTTCCCAATTAGACTCATTTCAGCTTCCACTGCAGTTAACTGCTCTAGGTGCCTGCCCAGATCTTCCCACATTCCCTGACACTCCTCACTCTCCTGCCTCTGGGAAGATCTCTTCATAGCATTCTTAAGTAGTTCTTTGACCTTAAACAAAAGCTGAAACATATTCAGGAGCAATAACAACAGGAACATGTTGGTTTGACTATCCCAAGGATATTCAGAACTTTGAACAGCTATTGTAACTAGCCTGGAAGAGAAAGGGGAGGTGAAGGGGAAAGGGAGAGTGAAGAAGTGGGAAAGATGTGCACCCATTGTCTGCTCCATGTCCCTATCTACCATCTCAGGGACCTGAGTATCGGGAGAAGAACCAATCTTGCTGCCAAAGGCTGATGCAAAGAAGACATTAAGTACCTCAGCCTTTTCCTCATCCCTTGTAACTCTGTTTCCCTTCACATCCAATAAAGGATGACGATTCTCCTTAATTCCCCTTTAAATAAAGTATCTAAATAAACAGATTTTATTGTCTTTGACAGTAATAGCCAGATTGAACTCCAGCTGGGCTTTGTCCCTTCTATATTCTTCCCTGCACAGCCTCATGATATTTAGGACACAGCTCCAGGCAGAATGACAGCGTGCATGAGAAAGAAACACAGAGGAGGTGGAACCTGGCAGCCTTCCATCCCCTACCCTTCTGTGACTCCGTGCTGCAATTCCATTCAGCTGGTTACTGCTGTATTATCCAAACTTTCCTGGAACTCCTGATGCTGCTATCTTTCCAGAGATAGCACAATCACACAAAGGTAGAACTGTCTGCCTGCAGACATGAAGAGCTGACAGAATAGAGCATCAGTGTGGGGGAGCCTTGAGAAACTGTAGATTTTGCCTACAGAAAACTCTTGACATTTTATAAGGAGATGAGCCTAGTCCTGCACCATCGGGACTGTAACCCCACACATCAGGGCCAAGTCTGTGCTGAGTGAACAGTGCCCCGGAGGAGGGGGGCCTGGGAACTCTGAGGGATACCACACGAGCAGTGGTGTCTGCTCACCAGGAACCAGGCCAGATCCTACAGAGCTTCCTTAGGAGCATGGCCACAAAGAAAATCTGAATTATACTCAGCTAGGATCCTGGTGTGACACCATATAGACAAGGATCTACAGCCAGCAGTGAAATAGATGCAGGTTTGTGAGTCCTTTGGGCAGCCTGTTGTGGAGGGGATTAAGGGCTGTGGCAAGGCTGAAAGTCCCAACAGGACCAAGTTCTTTGTGTCCAAAGCTATAGCTGTTGTCTCTGCCACTAAGGCCTATGAGGAGACAGCTTATTGTCACAGCACCGGGGACTCACTGGCTCCTCAACACCAAACACGAGCCAGGCAGGAGTCAAACTATTCTCCTCCACTTGGCAATGCACATCCCCATCTCCTACTGCCCCAGAAAGAGCCCTGAGCAATGTGTGAAGGGAAAGGATCACCCTTCTAGGGTCTAGGGGTCAAGGCCTGGCCCTTGTGCTTGATGAAACATCTAGTTTCCCTATACATTAATGTCAAATTTACACTGCCACTCTCTCCTTGTCTCCAGTGGTCTGCTCTAAGGAGCTCCAAGGCAGGTTACATCAGTGCTGGCCCTTGAGGGGACACTCCAGGAAAGTTACATTGCACTTGGACTTCTGGAGAGATTTCTTCAATTTGCTCTCAATGCCTGAGGTTTGTGGGCTCATCACCATCTGAAAAGAGGACTGAACTTCAATTTCCCCCACGTTCCTGCCTCTCTCCTACTGCACAGCAGAAAGGACTCCTCTGAAGCCCACAGCAGACCCTGCCCCCGTGTTACTCTCAGCCAGCACCAGACAAAGCTCAAGCAGGTGAGCTGAAGAAAGGTTCTGCAAAGAGATGCTCAGGCTGGGTGTGCTCTAAGACTTGCAATAGGTTTTGCTCAGAGAAGTCTGGTCTGACTTTGTTCTGCATTCTCCTCTTTAACATGAACTGATGTCAATTGTCAGAAAATGCCCATCAGCAGCTCTGTGACGGAATTGCTCTGCTGGCATTCGCAGAAACGTGGGAGTGCAGCTCCTGCACTTCACGCTTCCTGGGCATCTACCTGGCTGCCCTCCTGGGCAACGGCCTCATCCTCACAGCCATAGCCTGCGACCACCGCCTCCACACCCCCATGTACTTCTTCCTCCTCAACCTCA